TACAATCCCAATAAAATGCATGGGCCAAATAAAAATGGGTTCGGGCGTTTCTTCCTTCGCGACTTGCGACCATATTTTAGTCATTTTCAGCTTCAAACCTCACAAATCTATGAGGAGCTCGGATTCTGAGGCGCCGAGGGAGGATTGTTTGGCCCTTGATAGAAGTGTAGTGATGGGAAGACACCGCATCCATTCGGTTCTCTGATTCTGCGCTACTATATCAGGCGTTGGTTTTTGAATTGAATGGATCAATGGATCCAGTTTTCACGACCGCAAGCAACCACAGGGAAAACAAGTCCCCCTGAAAACAGCGTAGATCATTTGTGAACATATCAGTTATACTGAGGGCCATAATAATCAATACGTTTCGGAAAGTATCTAGAGGCTCCAATGTGAAATATTAGTAACAGCAACAGATAGCAGATGTCGATCTGTTCGCGTAAGTACTAGATCCAAGGTAAGAAATAATTCAGTCGATCTGAAGTCGATTGTAAGCGTTCAAGAAAGCAATAAGCACAGTTTCGAAATATCACCCGGTTCGCATGCAGGGTGTTGTTACTGAAGCGTCATCCATGCCTCTATGCCACCTTGCGGACGACGAGAATCCAGCAGAGGAGCATAGATGGTCAAGATTCTAATGAAACGCGTCATTTTAGACCTGCATACTCATTCCAACACCAAAGAACTACATGATAAACGTCCTTTGAAGCTTTAAACGACCTACATCAAGCTGGATCTATTTCAACGTCGGAATGGCAACCAACAAACCAACAAAAGAAACCACATTGGTAACAGCACAACCCACGCTTAGAAGCCATGACCAAGCATCGATAGATAACACACATCATGGCACTTAAACTCTACATCTGGTCTCTCTTCCTCATCCTCACCTGCCTACATCATGTAATCGCCCAAACGGCTTCTGCCACCCTTGAACCAACATCAATGCCGTTACTACCAACAAATTGGCAAAACGCCACTATAGACCCTACAGATACTTCAACCCTTTATAATACTCGATCACTGGCAATATCCACTGGCAGTGCACAATTGCTACCACCGCAATCAGTCAATGCATTGACACGTTGGGCACAATCATTCGCGGTCTGGAGAGATACAAAGCAATACTTTAAATCAGCTGGATCTGAGGAATACTCGTTTTGGTTGTTGGAGGTGTGTCTGATCTATTGGACCTGTCGTCAAAAAAGCTTATCCTGTATCTTGAAGGAATGACGAGTGATCTATAATGTTCTGCTACTGTTTTCAGAATAAATCCACGACACATGCATAGAAAAGTGATCACTTACCCTTTCTTTACGATTTTATAGCTCTTGAGTGGCAACCTGAACATGACTGTGGTGACGAGAATCAATGGGAGTACGATTCTGTCGCGAGAAGCAAAGGGAACTACTGTTTGGAATGAGACTGTAGAGGGAGGTGATATCGGAAGTCATTTTAATCCCATGACATTTACGCTTGACACGTAAGAAACCAAGAACCCAGCCGGTTAATGATGCACCCAACATCGTGCCTTTTTTTGCAGGTTCTACACATGGTGCCAATCAACCATAAAGGCCATGACGACTCAAACTCCTTACTTGTCTACACAGCAGCTACATGGATCCACTGGCCTGATCTTTTGCTGTGGATCTATATCTCTGAGCTCACTGGCAGAATTCAGGAAGGCCAACTTTAATGGTTATTGTGTGGCCAATACCGCTTTTTACGTGAACGGAACTAGGATCGATGCTTCAAGGGTTAACCTCACAAAGGCATCCAGATCTAGCATAAAATCACAGTCACCAACCGTCGTACGCAGAAGTACGATGCTCAGAACTAGTAATGATGCTCAACCAACTGTTTTCACGAGTGCGGTCGAGGTTGCACCTTCTGAAGTGGTGGCAGTCGCATCGCCTGCAGCTGAATCCCCAGTCGAGGCTAGTGGTATCAGTAATCCGTCGGACGGGATTCCAGATGCACAGGTCGCTGTAAATAGAGGACAACCTGCACCAACGCCGCTAAGTAAAAGTGATGGATCTCGTTTCAATCCATTGAATGTCAGGGTAATTGTAGTAATAGTTGTCGTTCTGTTCTCATAAATACTACATACACAGTAAAAGCCATGTAGTAGATCTGAAGTTAACAGTAAATGTTCAAGAAAGCATAAGAGGTTTGTGTTGTCACGTCTCGTCCTTCAGATTTTATATTGGCTCAGAACAGACAAACACATACCGATTCGCAAAAGACCCATTCCGAAACTTCGATTGAGTTTGAGTGCATCACTTGAGCTATGAGCTTTCGTCAGCCTCATCAAGTAAGTGACTCTACCTTGAAACCATCTTCGTTTGGTCGTTAGACGTTAGTTTTGAACAAGAATTGCATGCAAATGGTCTCCCGAAGAACCGGGTGGTCAGAGCGGAGCCAAATCGAAGCTGCCAATTGCACTCTATCAAGAACCACTTCTTTGATTATTCCCGTCATTATTAAATCTCTCTTGCAAGTCCTTGCATTTGCTTCAAACATTTTTGAGAAACACACTTTTTTGGGGGAAAATGATGAATGACGAGAACCGGATGAAGGCTCTTCATACAAGAGTTGTTTAATTCTATATTGTGCGTTCTGCATTAGGCCTGTACTTACTTCCTTTATTAAACAAACGTAGGGCCCGGGCACGGCTCCTCATACACGGATACCTGAGCTCCTAGACACTCTTAAGGCTGAATTCGATGCACTCGTGCAAGACCATAGTGTCTACAAACTGCAGCGAGATGAATCTGATCATAAAAGTAAGATCTTGAGCTACTCCGTGGTTGAACCATCGTTTTGCATGATTTCTCAAGTCGTCTACCCTCTTCAATAGTAACGGCCCAAATGAATGAATTGGCAGCATTCCAACAATCATTATACGAACTCGAACGAGCTCATCAAAAGATGAAGCAATTATACGAAGAGGAAATAATTCGATTGAGGAGAGAATTAGAAGCTAGAGGTGTTCCTCCTCCACCATCCATGCTGACCCAGGATGCACGAAACAGAGGCAATTCTACTCTGCCGGAAGGCATACCACCTCCTGTGCTAGCATCAAGTGGAAATAGCGGTGCTGGAAGTGTGTTTGGTGCACTGATGGCAGGTGCGGGTCAAGGTATGTTGTGTGAAGAAATCTTATTAGTCTCTCACCGCGTTAAAGCCTCGCATTACTCATACATACTCGCAATCTAGCTGGACCATTAGATTCACAAGCCAGGCCGCCCTATATTAATGGAGGTGGAGAACCATCACACCCGTCAAAACGACTACGTGCCGAAGATGGCATGCCCGTAAACAGAGACATGGGAGCAGCAGGCCCCATGAACCCATATAATCCATCAATTTCATCATATCCACCATCTGTTCCTCCACCATCATATCTACCACAACCTGGCAGTATGATTCCACCGAACGTAAACAAACTTCCACCAAACAAGGAACAAGTAGGTATGCAAGGACCTCCAACTGGTAACCCCGGTATGAATATCCCAATGGGAATGTCGCCTGGATATCATTCGCCCCATCATCAACAACAACAAATGCAACAGCAACAGCAGCAACAACAACAAGGACAAGCAGACTTGAAACGAAAACAAGCTGCCAATGGTATCGTTGGTGGTGGCGGTGGTGTACCCTCACCTCTACCACGAGGAGGGACGCCGACACCAATCGCATCGTATGCTCCCAAACCACCAGTTGCATCCGTCCCCATGTCTCAGCCAGTATACAATCAACCATTGACTGGACTCTGTGACTTGTCTATTGAATCTGCTCAGCCGGGATGGAAGAAGGAGGCGTCCGATTGGTTGGTGTTGTATAATCAGTCATCACCTGCTCTGCAAAAGGCGAAAATGAATGTAGAGTTGTTGCATACTTTCGATCATGGCAGGTATGCCTTCGTATTGTGTGGGAGATCGCGCGGATAGGCCTTGGATGATTCAGAGCTGTCTTTAATCTATTTTTTTGCACCGATCGTCTTTTAGCGTGGTTTGTTGCGTAAAATTTTCTTCAAATGGAAAATATTTAGCTACTGGATGTAATCGTATGGCTCAGATATTTGATGCGATTACTGGGGAACGAGTGAGGTAAATTCAATTGAGATGTCGTACAACTTGCATATCTGCATATCTTGGTCTTCTTGACTCACATCTTTTTTTTCCACATTAGTACACTTGTTGATGACTCAATACCGAAAGAAGGCGATTTATATATACGATCAGTGTGTTTCTCGCCCGATGGGCACTTCCTTGCTACAGGAGCAGAAGATCGAGTGATTCGTGTTTGGGACATTAATCAAAAGAAGATTCGATGGGCCTTGACTGGCCATGAACAGGATATATATTCTTTAGATTGGTCGGGCGATGGTAGAGTAGTCGTGTCTGGTAGTGGTGATCGCAGTGTCAAGGTGCGAATTGGGAATACCCAGGGCCGTCTTTTGTTCGCATGTTTACGTCACTCGTCAGTGCAAGCCAAAAACAACACTATTAACATATCACTGACATCTTGTGCATGTTAGGTGTGGGATATGGAAACTGGAAAGTGTACCATTACGATGCAGAATGAAGATGACCGTTACAATCGACCACCGCAATCAGCAGCCACATCAGGAATAAAAGATTCGGGTGTGACATCAGTAGGCGTATCACCGGTAGATGGATATTGTGTTGCTGCTGGCTCACTAGATAAGATTGTCCGTGTATGGTGTCTACGAACAGGAACCCTCCTTGAACGATTTGAAGGACATCGTGATTCCGTATACTCTGTCTCATTCTCGCCTGATGGCAAATCCATCGTATCGGGCAGTCTAGACAAGACGATAAAAGTATGGGATTTGGATCCTCGTACTGTGAATTACCTCAAGACCGAACCGACTAGTAATAATAACAGTAGTGATCCATCGCAACCCAACACATCAGGTCTACAACGCTTTGAAACCATAGTGACTACAACATGTCGGCATACGTATGCTGGACATCGTGATTTTGTCTTGTCGGTTGCTTTTGCTGGTAGTACTTCAACGATTGGACGTCTAAATGAACGTGGAGAGAGTGTGTCTGGAGGTGAAGGTCTTGCTGACGTAGAGTGGGTTGTGTCTGCCAGTAAAGATAGGACTGTTACATTCTGGGATGCTAGAACGATTGGTCCTGGTGGAAGAACTCCAGATTTGGCTACTGCTGCTCAGTTTGTGTTGCAGGGACATAAGAATTCTGGTAAGTACTTGATTTACTGAATGAATTAAAGGTTGAATGGGTTTCGTCGGGCAAAGGAAAATCCAAACCAGCTGAAGCATCCACAATTTTGTATTGATCCTTTTGTCCCCCTTCTCAAACAGTGATTTCCGTGGCACTAGCGCCTCGGACTGGCCTCTTTGCTACAGGATCAGGAGACTGGAGAGCCAGAATTTGGAGATTGAGTCTGGTAACTCCAGAACAACCAAGTATTGCACCTGCAGCAGGAACATCTGAACAAAAGAATAATGTAGCATCATCATCACTAGAAACAACTCAACAACAACAACCTCCTCCACCGCCACCAATGCCTCCTGCTCCAGCCCCACATCCGATATCATCAGGATCAATGTCATCTACTTCTACAGAAGCTATGGAGACTGGAGCTTAAAAGTTCAAGAAACTTGTGTCAATTTATAAAGGGGTACTGGTGCTTTAGTTATTTGTAGAGGGGAGCGGGGAGAGTATGTTTATACCGTTGAGTTTCCTATATAGTAGTACGTTTCTGTCTTTCCGTGAAATATAGTCGAGAAGTTTTCCGTAACAACATTGTCTCTTGTGTTTACCGTTAACCATAATGTCTTGCTTCGCGAAAAGATATGGATGCTTGTGTGGTTGACTGATTTGCAAAGTGTATTTTCTAAAATATGCAAGTAGTTTGTTTATACATATAAAAGAGAGTGCTTTTCTTTCTTTTGATAAAAGTCCTGTCTGGATATTTGTGATAGCTAGGCTCATTTTTGATTTATAACGACAAGATCAAACAGCAAGCCAATAAAAATGAACTATTTTTTGTCTTTGTGTTTTCTGGTGGTTGAAAAAAGCTGTTTTTCCGTGGCCTAGAGTAACATTCCTACTATATTCAAGCTAAGATGGGTTCTTCCTCCATGTCGGCATTCATATAGCTGTCCAAGTCGTCATTCAATTTACCAACAGCATAGTTGGCGTCCTAGTGGAAGTTGAGCGTGAGTTTATATGATTCGATGCGAATGACCCTAAACGACCGCATGTAAATGCGACAAGGTGCATAAAAACAAAAAAGACGAGTCTTCTGACATTATCATAACTAACCTTGAGCATGTAGGCTTCCAATTCAGCATCCAAGGCAGCCTGATCAGCCGGGCCCTTTCCAGTAGCGTTTGATGCGGCGGCTGAAGCTCCTCGACCGACATTTCGACCACCTCGACCTCCTGACCGAGCACGACCTCGAGATGAGGCCTGTGCACGACCACGTCCAGAAGGTTGTCCACCAGCAACACCACCACTATTATTGTTGTTATTATTATGATTGTTATGACCACCACCTCGTTGGGAAGATGAACCACGATTGGATTGACTTTGTGGCCTTTGTATTGGTTGTTGGTGGTGCTGTTGTTGTTTTGGTTTACCCAATCGTCCTTCAAGAGAGACCATTGTTCGACCTGTAGCTCCACCACCACGTCCTCCACGTCCAGCACGACGACCGTTGCGAGCAGGTTGATTTGTTCCTTGGTTTGGTGTGTTCAAGTCGACTACTGGAGTTGTGCCTGTACGAGCCACCATCTGAGCACGGAAACGAGCATTCTTGGTGAGTGCCTGATAGTTTTGCTTTCGTGCTTGTTCAATCTCTTTGAATCTAGAGTTGTGTGTGTTGGTGTGTTAGTAACAATGTTATGGAATGAGCAAATGTATATATACAGCATAAAGATAACAATGTGATTGCAACGAAAGCAATCGCAATGATGACTATAACATATTAGCAAGTGAGGATGCACTACTTACTTTGCTTCAAGACTTGATTTGGATGGGCCAACGATGATTATAGGTGCTGTTGTGATTGTTCGATTGGCCTTAGGGAACCTGACTGCACGTTTTCCTTTGTTTACAGGCATGCTGAGATGGAGAAGAGAGAGTCAATACTCGAGTACTCTATGTTTGAGGGGTTTTATCACTAGATGGGTTCTTTCTATTGGTTTCGAGGACAAGCAGCAAAGAGGAGAGAGAGGCAGAGAGGAGCAAGGTCTACCAAATAGGACCTTTGCAGTGGTCGTAATAGATATCTCTTCCGTCACATTGGCATAGTAGCTTGACTGCAGACACTATTCCCAATACCAGATACCGCCACAGCAACTTGATGTTTGACGTTTTCTGAGCTGTCTGCTATATGATACTACCAAGACAAAGGTACATCCACGAGCAGCAAGTACAATACTACAAGGACACTCGTCTGCCTCCCTCTCTCTACGTCACCCGCTTGTCCCGTTTCAAAAGTATGAATCCACAACTTTGAGATATGCTCACATTGATTGGTTTCAAGACTTTCCAAGTGGGTCCGCTCTACCAGAGAATCTGTTTATATACGTGGTCTTTGAAGATGGGCAGAGCTACTAGGCTGGTCGAGAAATACAGTAGTATCTGCTTGTTTGTTTTGCAACCTTGATGAATGAAGCAAGTTGTGTTTGGTCACTGGGCACTTCCCGAGAAAGAGGACGGTTGAGAGAGCTGGATATCAGTGCACGGTGGAAATCCCGCGTGTTCTACGCGTGTCTTTGGGGTATACAAGCTCAACAACAGAATCAGACAAACAGAGGTGGGGGGACTACCCTTGCCATTTCGTTATTCCAGCTTCATTCCAGGAACAAATTGAGATAATTTGGCATATAATAGTTTTGGAATGGATTTAACATCGAAACTCACGTGTTTCGCCTGTACCTCGCCTCGAAACAGAGCTCAATCGCGTAGAAATTGTGAAGAGTTTGAAAAATGTAGCAAGACAGCCTGTTTTGCCTGGTTTTGACCAAAAAGTAGTGATTTCGTGATAGACACGTGACGGAATACTGGCATGTTCTTGGAACATATTGGAATAATCTTGGAATAAGTTGGAAGGACCCTCGCCAGTTGTCGATATTCCAGCAACAGCCCCCCTGTTCCCCCTCAGAGCCCTCAGACAAACTATTAAATTCTCCAAAACAAGGTGCTGTGTACATTCGCTGTGTCGTATGTCGCTATTGAAACTGTGACAATAAACTAAAGAGATTACAAGATTACATTGAACGAGTTGCGCATGCAGGACACCTGAACAACGCAGATTATTTTGGCTCATGCATTTTATGTTACTGGAAAGCCGTCGCCGGGCTCATGCATTCTATTCGCCGGGCCACCTTGTCTAAAGGGTGACCCTGCCATCGGTTCATGAACCGTGCAAAATTTCCAATACGATACCTCCCAGGCGTATGTCTCAGTTATAAAACCTACGCCTTTTACTTAAGTTTTCAAGAGGTGTATGCCACCATGGGAGTGATAAATCTTTGGAACAATTCCCGAGGCCACACCTTGACCTTGACAATTCTTTTTCGCGATGCAAAAACTGTTTATTAAAGCAATTTATATCAATACTCTGCACCAAAAAGCAGCACCTCTACATTCATAGACCCCAAATAGGATCATCCAAACGACGACGACTAACAACTTGTCGCGCAATACCCTTCATGATACAGAATCCAACACGGCGGAAGACAAAGTCCTGAGCAACTATATCCCGAGCAGATTCGCGTGAGCCCACGCGGCTTGAATGCGACGTAAAAGTTCTACAGCGTCGGCAGCAAGGTAACCCATGGTGTCAAAGGCAAACTAAAATTATTTTTCGCGATTGTTTATGCTTACGTAATTCTTACAAATAAAAAGAGTAACCTGAAAATTTTTGGTTAAAGCGTGCGAGTTTTTTGACAAAAGATTTTTCTTTTTAATTGAATTGCGTGATACTCTATTCTCCTACAAAATGAGAGCGATCTGTCGTCTCGAAATACTCTAATTTTTTAAGCGAGGAAAAGCGAAACTGTCAGAAATCGAGGAAGCTAGCCAATGAATCCATAAACACAGAATTGATATTGACAATATCTACGATATCTCTGCTGCGGTTAGCTGTATGAATCATAGCTCCCTGTTCTGTTGTTCTTTGCGGCACAGTCAACGAAACCCCTCCAAAACACTCTACAAAGCCTTTTGTGTGAACCTAGATTCTTGGCATTGCTTTTTCGAGTCCACTAGCTCGAGGAACTACACCGATTTAATATATAAAGATTGTTCACACTCTATTAGACAGGCTCCCAAACTGGTCATGTCGAATGGTTTGCTGCCCGCGCAGATCATAAGCGCCAATTCTACTATTATGGCAGCTGTGATGACACCCCAGCCTTCTCCAGATCCATTTTTAAACAACTATACCACCAATATCGGTCTTATTTCCGCCATGTCTTTGGTAATAGCTTTTGTGGCGGTCATTGCTGTGGCTACTGCCGACGTGATTATTCGAGTGCACGTCTTGCATGGTCGTGATGAATTCTTTAAGAAGGGCAACAAGAAGCGACCCTATAAGCAGAACAACAAGTCTCCATTCTGGAATCGCGAGAACTCTACCATGTCGATCATGATCAGGCCAGATGGTCCAGAATCCGTGTCGTATCCAAACGATCTGCCCCCTCCACATCCTGAAGATGCAATTCAGTCTGCATCTATGAGAAGGAAGGCTCTATTATATGTAGATACCGCTCGTGCTGGTCACGGTGATGCTGGTTATGACCATATACCAAGTCCAATGACACCTAGGAAACTCGTCATTAAGAGTCGTCATGCTTCAACCTTGTTCGATGCCTATGAGGGCATTGGACTGGGAACACGGGTGCATCAGCAGGCTGAACAATCCGTGTATAATGCTTCGGTAGCCACTTCTAGTCGTCGTAGTCAAGGACAAGAACAACAGTTAGCTGCTCATGTCGTGGCCATGGACGTATATTCGGATGGAGCTTGGATGAATCAAAGTAACAGTAGTAACGACTTGGATGACTTTGATAATAAATGGAATCCAATGAGGTCGAAAGGGTCAAACTATGCTACTGAAGAACCAACACCACAATACCAACAGCAGCCGCAACAGCGCCAAGAGCAGACTTCACAGTCATTATCTCGTAGTAGGCAGTTGTATGAGAGAAGATTCCAAGATCCGGCTTCTCATTATCCAACGATTGATAGGAGGCTCCATGCCGCTAGTCTCAACCACAGCAACAGCAGCAATAATAGTAGAGATGGAGGGTCAGTAACAGCACCGATATTAGCACGATACCAAGGTGGATATACCAGCCATTCTATGCCGAGAGCATCGTCACGCTCTGCTGGAGCTTCGCTACCAAGGCTCCAAACAGCTACCTATAGAGAGAACGCACAAGACAGAGACGGCGCATATCCCAGGTCTGCAGCACCTTCCAATAGTAACTCATATCCCAGATCTGCAGGAGTACAAAGCAACCAATACCCACAACAACCTTACCAACGCTATGAAGCAACATCACGTATGCCATCCAATAATCAAAGTCACTCTTTAAACCGATGCCTTAGAGAAGACGATCATGTACCATACGCACAACTAGATACAACCATTACCATTGCCCATGTGCGAGCACCAAAACCAACAGCCCTAAACATGCATTCCTTATATACCAATAACATAAACCACCAGAACCAGTCAGACTCGTCATTACCATCACCTGTAGAGCCTCTTAGACCAGTGTTTCCTCCTTCTTCTCCTACAAACGACTATGATGCCAACATGATTGCCGCATGGAACGCATCTCGTGATGGATCAGTTAAATCCAATAGTAACAATAGCAGCCGTGAAAATATGTGAGGTCGACAAATACCCCTCCATGTAAACAAAATCCCTTATATAAAGTCAAAAACACCTCAAGTAAAGAACAGAAAAGTCGCCATTTCTTGCATTAATGTAGTATAGATATAGATTTGCACAAAATAAAACAACACATTCACTCCATAAATTGATTGGTAGCATTATGTGTTATATTGATAAAAGTTATCAGATTATTCTGCTGGCATACTATATGCACAAGACCACGATGTTTACCTCACACAGTCCCAAGTCCCGGGTCATTCTATTATACTTCAAATGGGTGTCGACTAGATCGAGTTGCAATTGATTTGCCTCGATTTTGTTTACGCCCAACATTCTAAAAGGAGACTTTAGATTATATGTGTTTTGGTCCAAAGCTATTGTTTGTGGAGCTTTGATGGTCCTTGTCATGCAAAATAAGGTGGTATCGTCAAATTTGACTGTGACTCGACCCAAGTTCATCGTAAATGCGAAAGATGAAGCCAAGGATTGTGACGTCCAGTATAGAATATGGTCTCTTGGGATACTTCGTGTCCATCAGAAATATTGTGTCGATTGATTCAACACGTAAGAGCTCTCTGTTAACATAGAGATTATTGTTGTCGCCGCCATCCCTGGTAGGTTTGATTGAGCCATGTGTCCATAACTCTTCGAACGAAATCGCAAACTAATCGCTTACCATACAAGGCCATGGACTGATGACTTTGGGTTCTTCACAGACATCAAAAAGAGAATAAAAGCTAACTTGACAGAGCCAATTCCCTCATCAATATTCAGCTAGCGATGCTCTACTGGATATATAGCGTGACTTACCCCCAAACATGCCAATCTTGTCTGTATTGTGGTTTCCTGCAGCAATCTTCTTTAATCGATTCCAGTTTTCGCTATCGAAAGGCTTGCCATCATGTCGGAACTCTATCAAAGAGGCTACACTAGAATCTTTGGGGTCGGTCATGAATATGATGGTGATGTTTATTGGTTCTATCATATAGACCGACTCTGTAATGTTAGTAAAGAGCTGCAACCACACTGATGCAAAACCAAAAAGCTGACCATCTGATGCCCTTCCGGCGTCGTTAGCATTTTGCAAGAGCTCCCCGTTGAAGGTCCAGACAGCAACATATTTTGTAAGGATCTTCACGATTAGTGAACGTAAGTCCACCTCGACAGGTCACTTCCACAGGTTCACGTGTATCCACAATCAGATGGACTCAAAGCAATCCTTATGTAGTGGCTTGGACTTGAATTCAACTTGGGAAGGCTTGGTGGTTGGCTTCCTTTGCTTTGGACGGCGTGGAATAGTGTAGCTTGGACGGGAACGAAACTTTAAGACTTTGTGGTCGGAGAGGTGGTATCAACACCATCGTTTCGTGCATTCAAACGGTCCTCGTCACCGTCTGAGGCTCTCACTCTGACGAATCAACCAAGAAACTGTAGTGCCTTCTTGACAGAGCAATCCTAAACGATTTCACGATAAGCTGTTACTTAAAACGTTTCAGAATAGCAAGTCCGCATGCAAGAAATACCAATAGATTGATTTGTAGCCTGTAGAGTTTCAGCTCCGATTCAATTTGTCCGTTCGTGATCTCTCTTGTTACAACCACATAAGAGAAAGTATACCATGGCAGACGAGACTCCCTTATTCGGACTCGATAAAGTAAGTTGTAAGGCCGGTTCCAAGCACCTTATTCGCCGTTTGTGTCAATCGTTGGCGGTTATCAAATTATATGTTTGCAAGAGTATTCAAAGGCCTCATTACAAGTCCATCTTGCTCATCGATTTCTGGGCTTATTTTCTAATAGGAACTGAAGGAGAAGGCCGATGCCAAGTTCGATCCAGCACGAGCTGCAGAAGCTCAACATTGGATTGAAACCGTGACATCAGAACGTTTTGTTTCTTCTGACTTTGAGGAGTCTCTTAAGGACGGAGTTCTTTTATGCAAGCTTATGAACATCATTTATCCAGGTCTGAGGCCTCCATTGTTTGTCGATATTAACCACAACACTCACACCCGTATCCTGCTCACTCAATTAGACGCCAATATCAAACCCAACGCCTCCAAGATGCCATTCAAACAAATGGAAAACATCAACAACTTTTTACATGCTGCTACTCGTTTGGGCGTTCCGCTCCACGACCAATTCCAAACTATTGACCTGCATCAAGGCAAAAACATTCCTCAGGTCGTGCAATGCATGTACAGTGTTAGCAGAACTGCATCTGCGAAAGGATATGCTGGGCCTTTACTCGGGCCAAAGCTCTCAACATCGAATTCGAGAGAGTTTAGTCAAGATGTGATGAATCAGAGCAAGAAGGTTATTGGTCTTCAGATGGTAAATGCGCCAGGCTTTCTACCAAAGTTTTTTCCTGTCTCGAAACATGTCTTCTCGTGACACTTAACTTGTTGCTATAGGGTCTGTCAAAAGATCAAGGAGCAAACGCGTCTGGAATGTCTTTTGGTGCAAAGCGGGACATTGGTGGTGGACGCTCATAATACGCTTTGGTTGCAACCCTCACCTTTTCCATTTGTATCATTGACCTCAACTATAAATATTGCGTTTACGACGTATTGTGACTTTCGACCTTGAAAATCTCAAAACCCTCTACACCGCTGTCTCTAGAATTTAATGATTTTATATTTGGTTCCTCACAATTCACAAAATAACAAAGAGCACGTTTCAGCGAATACTTCTTAGTCTTCCTATTTGACGGTAGGGAGGAAAATGGTGTTAGATACAAACAAAGAATTCTCAGGAGACGTTCAAGAATACAAACCAAGAAGAAGTATTGTCCCTGAGGAAACGGAGAGGAGTGAGCTCAGAGGCAAAACCAGGCAAAAACAAGCGAAAAACTGCAAGGGAGACTCAAGGAGTTTTTGTCACTCGATGCAGGGCGTTGATACTTACAGCACTCTTTTGTTCCTTATCCTTGACCGACTCAGACTTGTTGATACGAGGTCTGAAGTTGGAAGGATCACGTCTAAATGTGATTTCCAAATGCTTCAAGAATCGGTTCATTCCAGTCAACAAGGGTTCAGGTCTACACATTCGGTTGATGAAAATTTTTGGTGAGTAGTCGGTCAAGATACTCCTATTCGATGGAAGTGCGACAACTTCTTTGTCCTTGTCTCTGAATCACACAAAACCACCTCCATCAATCTAAAACAGACCAATGACTTACGATAGTGCCCTAGCATTCACACCAGGTTGACCATCATACACAATAACACGATCAGCCAGATAAGTGGCCATAATAAAATCGTGCTCAACAATAAATGCGGTCTTTTTAGAGTGCAGGATAAACCTTTTGATGACCTTGGCGGCAATAATACGTTGTTCGGAATCCAAATATGCAGATGGTTCATCAATCAAATATATATCGGCGGGTTGACCTAATGCTAATACTATTGCAACACGTTGCAGTTCACCACCAGATAAATTGGTGACTTCTTGATCGATAATGTTTTCGATTTGCAGTGGTTTTACTACATCGGTTTGGAATTGCGGGTGCATGAACATGGCCTTGATTTTTTTGATTAGTAGCATTCGGACAGTACCCTAGTTCAGGTGAGATTAGGATGAATTATTCACATGAATAGGCATTTTTTGCCCAGTTGTGATCTAGTTGGTTATCGCTAAAACCCGACAACAAAATAGATCTCCCCTATTGCATGCCTTCAGGCTTACCGGGAAGGATGGACTAATCTTCTGTGGCTTGTAACTGACATTCAGTTCAGGTACTTGCTCATTCCCGTCAGCTTTGAGTAAACCGGCCAACATACGAATGAAGGTAGTCTTTCCTGTTCCATTCTCTCCCAACATGACGAGAATTTCAGAGTCTGTGAATCCTCCTGGTTGGACCTCCAACGAGAAGTCACCTTTCAAAAAATATTGGGGAGATTTCTGTCAAAATAAAATTCTCGACGGGCTTGACGATGTGATGCAAAGTCAGCAAAGTACCTAGAGTCTTCTTCATAGCCGGATAGGCGTATCTTCGATGCGTCTCAATTACTTGATCATCAGCAGTTTCAGCCAATCTAAACGTCAAGGATTCATCACGGAATCTCAAGTTTTCTGTTGGTACTCTTCCATCCAAGAAGATGTTGATTCCTAGAACGCAGTTTTAGCAAGCGACAGAAAAACAGCAACAGTGTATTACCCTCTCTGACTCCGAATGGTAGAGTGACGACACCATAAGCACTAGGCATGCCATAAAGGACACAAATGAAATCTGATAGATAATCGAGAACACTCAGATCATGTTCAACGACAATGACATAACTAGTCGGAAACTTTAATCAGTAAGGCTTCCGCTGTCATTTACTATCAGCTGACACCTTCCTTGAATTGACACTTACCATTTGGGCTGTAACAGCGATCTTATAACTCTGGCAGCATTCAAACGTTGCTTGACATCCAAGTAACTGGATGGTTCATCAAACATGTATCTAGAAATCCGACAAAGGGTCAAACCAAAGGCCAAATCTCAGCTGCAATCAGCTGCAACTCTTACATGTCTGCTCTTTGTACACAACACATGGCAATAGCAAATCGTTGTAGTTCTCCACCCGACAAGTTTTGTACGTCTCGCTCCAAGACTTCCTTCAAATCCAATTGAAGGATCATGTCTTTATGATTATCCATTTCTGTCTTTCCTTTCAATAATTCTTCTACTTTGCCTTTTACAGCTTTAGGTATATTGTCCACGTATTGTGGTTTGATGATTGCCTAACATCAACATGAGAGTTAGGCTTGAGAAGCAATCAGCTAGTTTTTTTGCAAGGATACCTTGAGATTGTCTTCCAATATCTTTGTAAAGTAGTTTTGCAGCTCTGAGCCTCTGAAATGCTTTAGAATGTCTTCCCAATCTGGTGGTTCCTACAAGGGACACTGGACGGTGGGTAACCATTTTCTTTTGCTTACATCAAGGCCCACTATTCCAAAGACCCACGACGACAAATTTACCTCGAATCGACCGAGATTCGGCTTGAGCTTTCCAGCCAATATCTTGAGTGCTGTACTCTTTCCGATACCGTTTGTTCCGACGAGACCCAGTACTTGACCAGGACGTGGTACGGGCAGACGATGCAATTTAAAACTGTTCGCCGAGTAGCGATGGGTAGTATCTTTTTCCAGATTTGTAGGCAAGTTGATGATGTGGATTGCCCCAAAAGGACACTTTTTGGTGCAGATACCACAACCAATACATAAGTCTTCAGATATGAAGGCTATCTTTGAGTCACTGCCGACTTCGATACATAATTTGCCTAGGGTGTTGAAAACATAAATTATTGATACGGAGAAAGACCGATGCTGCCCTCGTTATAGTTTTGTTGTTTTGCTTGAGATGTGAATTGGCAAGAAATGGACGTCAGTGACGACATACCCATTCGCACAACAGGACATGATTTTTTGCACTCCTGGCGACACTTTTTAGGCTTGCACTTGTCGTCATTGACAATGGCTGATGAATGGCGATTGATGTGTTGTTTGATGATTGAAAAAAAAGTTAGTTCAATGGTGTCTTGGGCAATAAAGAGAACTTAGACAAGCGGAATAAATGACTGGATCTCAACTACATACCGATACGTGTAAGCTTCTCCGACATTTTTGCAATCTATCGGCTCCTCGCGAAAAAGGAGCTTGCTTTCGTGCGAAAAACAAGCTTGAAAACTGAACGGATGTGGGAAGCGAACAGAACAGCGCAATATTAATCCAAGTATTAGAGTCAAATATATTTGTTAATTCTTGTTCACTTAACTGGTCTAATATCTAATTATATCACGACTGCTTTGAAACACGAAGTGTTGCAGCTGGCACGATTAGTTCAAAGGCTGGCGACGTGTTTTTGCCTGTCTAATTCTACGCTCAAATGTAGTTCATTGTTCCGTCTCTCGGCCTCTTTCCAAAAGTCAAGCAAAACAGCATTGTGTCTTGCAGATTCCTGCAATCTTAGAGCATGACCACCACCAATAAAGACTTCTAGCCGTCCGCCGAGCGAATCAGCCAGATACTTACTATGCAATTTAGATTACATTAGTCCTGGACGCGTTTTGTCTGAGGTGCAATCAACACAAGAAACACGATTGTATGCCTTTCGTCAGATAGTAGACTAACGTTCATTCCTGAATTACCTTGAAGATGGCTGCACAAGAACATTATCTTGGTCACCAGTCATAACCAATATCGGAATCCCCGAATTCTTCACGGCCTTCAGTCGTTTAGGCGACATATAATGGGTCAGAGCAGCATTTTGTTGGCCTGATCTTCCAAATTTAGTCTGGATCCCAGTCTTGTTGAATCTTTCCTCAAACCAAGCCCTCATATATTCTCGATTTGTCGCATTTCCTGACGACGATTGCAAGGCCAGCCATTGTTGGGGAAACAATAGCTCACAAACAGTTTTGGCAAACCCAGAAACATCGCTATATGTGACTGGAAAGGCCATGTTTTTGACGCCTTCCCACTAAAAGTAATGAACGAGTCAAGCGATTGGACTATCCTTGACAGTTGTTAAACTTACAGGTAGTCCACTGAAATAGGCATAGGTGCTCACGAGTGTCATACTAGCGATGCGATGCCTAGCGATATATGCTAACTCCTGTGGAAAGGAAAGGTCTTAGAAACCTTGGGTTGTTTGACGTACAGGACTCTAGTGTCAAGACCTGGGAGATCATTCCGCCCAATGAAAGTCCCACAATGTGAGCTTGTTTCCAGCCTATTAAAGATTAAGATAAATTTTGACGTACTTTGCTATAATGTAACGTGTTAAGGTATCCAGTGCGACTTTATACCCAAATGGTCGAGAAGCTCCAGGGCGTCTAGAGCCATTTCGGTAGTTTTGTATCGACCAGCCGGCGAGCTTGAATATCCAGATCCACGATTGTCATACACGCACTGCTCGAACTCTGGGAATTGTTTGAAATAATCAACCTAGATGTAGGACGCTTGGTGAGAACAATTCAACAGGTGGAGTTCAAAGAGTGGTAAATCTCAATTACTTGTAAGTCCCATTGACGAGATATTGCACCTAGTCCTATAAATACATACGTGGTTAGCCTTTGAACTCGTCATTCAAACTTTGCGTTTCGTATATACAGACCCCCGATATATAAAATCTTGGTCGAACCACTACCAAATGTTTCGTAAAACAGGTGAACAGGAGCTCCTGTTTCTCGTTTAGTGCTCACTGTTATATGGGGCATCGCAAAAACGTCCAAGGATTTTTTGTGCAGATCAAACAATCGCTGCCGCAAGAAACACTCTAACGTTGGTTTTACTACTCTAATAACTATGATGAATTGAATTGACATTGGAAATATCTCCTACTCCAGACGTGACGACCCAGTCTAAGTTAAAAGTACGATTTAACATCAATATTCAACCACTTCCCACTGGTTTCTACAAGCTCAACCGCCTTTGTATCGTCAGAGCCTAACGCTGAAGTAGCCTTTATGGAACAGTCTTCGTAATAGAGACCAGTCTCCTTGCCGGCTTTTTCATCAACAGCACAATAAAGGATTGTACGAGCACCTTGCTCCTCGGTCAGCATGAAGAGTTTAATCATCCACCTCAATACACTAGGAACTTCCTTCCAGATACCTGGTGATACCCAAATGTGAGTCAACGCGATTAAAAGAACAACCACCGAAACTTGAATGTAGGAGCCCTTTTACCTGTTGCGACAGCTCCAGGATGAAGAGCATATGTGGTAATGCCAGATCCTTTGATCTGTTGACCAATCCAGCGAGAGTAATATATGTTGGCCAACTTTGAGACACAGTAGCTGCCGAATGCTTCGGTGGTGCTTTGTGTTTTAGGGACTTTATCACCAAAGAGCTTCTCATATGGAATTCCAGTGGCATTCTCGTGTCCCACAGACGAAATGGTCACTACTCGAGCATTGGGAGCCTTCTTCAGTGCTGGAAGTAACAACAGGGTTAAGAGGAAGTGTCCTTGTGCCAGAGCAAAATGTAACTCAAAGCCTTCAGACGTCTTGGTATTGGTTTTAGAGACAAGACCAGCATTGTTGACGAGAATATCGAGCTTTTCGTCTCTAGCTAAGAATGCTGACGCAAACTCTTTGACCGATTCCTACAAACAATTCATGGTCAATAAAAGAAGAATGAGATCAAGTAAACCAAAAAAATGTCACGTACCATGTTGGAGATATCAACAGTCATAACTTCCACCGTGCCGTTTCCATTCGTGTGAGAAACAATTGCCATAATTTCATCTTTTGCAGCTGTAGCACGTTCTAGTGATCGAGAAGCGATAATGACTTTGGCACCGGCCACCGCAAAGGATTCTACAGCTGATCTTCCCAGTCCAAAGTTTCCTCCGCTGAGCAGTTGATTGAAATGAGTAAGCAAAAAAACATTGGATCATTCAGAAATGTTGGAAGCCCGATACACTAGAACACCCGAAACAGTGCGAGAAACTCTGACATCGCTACTTACGTGACAATGATAGTCTTGCCGACCAGAGAATCCTTTCCGATGCTATATGCTCGAACCATGTTTTCTTCCTAGTTGTTTCGTTTGTGCCGTTACCACTTGACTATATTATGCTGGCTGGACTTTATATGGATCGAAGTAGTGAACAATTTTGAGTGCTTGACCTTAGTAAGGAACCTCTTTAAGCGTTTGTCGTGAAGTACAGCTGGATCACTCTGATTATGCACCCACTGGATCGGAGTCATTTTACGTTGAGAACAATTGCTTTAAAGCACGATTAAATGTCAATATTTAGCTAGTTTCCAGCAGTGTCAACGATTTAAATGGTTTGTATCATCACCTCTAGTCGACCAAGAGGTCTCTGCGGCAGCATGATCTGGATGGTTGACAGTGGTTTTGAGCTGGTTCCAGCTGATAGCTCCAGCAGTAAAGCTATCCTTCTTGATGAAACGCTCGCTTTCGTACAGTGACGGTTATCAAATTGTCGTTCGGTATTCGGAATTGCTCAGTCGATGGCCTACTACACTACTGGCACTATGTCGGGTCAACTTTACAAAGACGTTCAGAGAATCTTGCGCAGATCAAAAACTCAAGGCGGCAAGAAGCACTCTCGCATTGGTCTAAGTACACAATAAGTGTATTGAATTAACATTGAAAATAATTTCTCTACTCAAGAGTTGATGACCCAGCTACAAGTTTGAAGTACGACTTAACATCAATATCCAACCATTTCCCGCTCGTTTCTACAAGCTCTGCACTCTGCAGCTCATCGACCGAGTCAAGGTTTCCTCCACTGGGTGATGAGATGAGAAAAATAAGCATAAAGATGTTGGAATAACAGCGCGGCGAGAGCCTCTGACATCGTTACTTATGTTACAATGATAGTCTTACCAACCATGGAATTCTTTGAGATGCTGTATGCTTGAACCAGTTTTTGTTATTGGTTTTAGGTGTCAGTGTTGTTTCGGTTCGCCGTGCTATATCGTCTAGTCGAGTAATTAGCTGTGTCTCTGTTTTCTGCATTTTGGACTATTAGAATTGGATCATGCATCGATAATAATAATTACCAATCAAAGGCTGGCACAACGAACACATTATGTTTGTATTAAGAATAATTCCGCAGGCGAACTCAATACGTCAGCTGGTGCGTATTTCGCGTTGAAGACAATTGCTTTAAGCTAAATTGTTGATATCATCACCACTATTCGATGAAAGGCTCCCTGCGGCAGGACGCTCGATCTGGGCGCCTGTATTAGCATGGTATAGTTTCAGCTAGCAGGCACTGCAGCAAAGCTATAAGTCCTAAAACCCATTTATCGTTTTGTCAATACTTGGAATCGCTGAAAATCCACTACTTCTGTTAGTACCGTCACAGACAACTGTGAGGCCAACGTTATAAAGACGTTTGACTGATTTGTGTAAACGATGTACAGAGGTCTAAAAATATCTTTTAATCTAAATCATTTCATGCTCGTCAAGCCACGAGGCCTGAAAGAACACTCGTGTGATGATCTGTTCATTTAAAGTACGAGTGAACATCAATATTCAACCATTTCCCACTAGTCGCCACAAGCTCAGCAGCCTTCTTATCGTCAGCTCCTACTTCGGAGGGTCTCTTAACAGCACAATCATAATAGTATAGACCACTCTCCTTGCCAGCTTCTGGATCTACTGCACAATAGAGATATGTACGTGCACCTTCCTCGACTGGTATCGTCACGTGTTTAATAATCCATCTAACAGCTATAGGCACTATCTTCCAGATCCCTAATATCAGTGGCAAATGTTAGTGGACATCAAAATTGAGGAGCAACGAGTCGGTTACCTGTTGACACCGCTCCTGGATGAATACAATATGTAGTGATTCCCGTTGTTTTCAGTTGTTGAGCAGTCCATCTCGAGTAATATACATCTGCCAGTTTCGACACACCGTAACTTTTAACTGCCCCAGAAATGCTCTGTTTGTTTGGCACTTTGCCGCCATATATGTTGTCATACGGGATTCCACTGATTGCTGAGTGTGCAACCGACGATATCGTCAGTATTCGAGCGTTGCGAGCCTTTTTCAGGGCCGGCAGTAACAACAATGTCAGTAAAAAATGTCCTTGAGCTAAAGCAAAATGCACTTCGAAGCATTCCGCTGTTTTTGTGTTGGATCTCGAGATAACGCCAGCATTGTTCACGAGTATGTCAAGCTTTTCGCCTCGTCCTAGAAACTTTGCAGCAAACACCTGCACTGCTTTCTAAAATGTTGATTCAGGTGAGCCAATGATACACAAGGATAACAAGCCTTGACAGCTATATACATACCATGCTTGATATGTCAACTGCGATGGCTTCCACCGTGCCCTTTGCATTCTTTTGAGCCACAATTGTCATTATTTCATTCTTGGTTGATGTTGCTCGGTCTAATGATTGAGTAGCAATGATGACTTTTGCACCGGCCAATGCGAATGATTGTACAGACGAGCGTCCTAGCCCCGCGTCGCCTCCACTAGTAGTTATGAGTGAGCAAAATTTTCGATTCTTCAAAATGCTGAGACTTTGGCGAGCCCAGCGGGCGAAGGATGTAGTTCTTGGCACCTAAATCTCTGATAAAGTCACGTACGTTACGATGATAGTCTTACCAACCAGAGCGTCCTTCGGAATGGTGTATTCTCGAAGCATTCTCACTGCCACTTGCTTCTACAGATGATGCTTACAACACAAGAGGCCGATGATTCCGGGTAACGAGGTCACGTACTTATGATTATGAACGCCGCTTCAAGTAGTGAAGTCCAGACCCGACAGTACCTCTTCCTTGCTATCGTTTGCTCTTGCTTGAGCCTCTTATTGTGACAATAGAAAATCGCTGCCGCAAGAATCACGTTCAAGTTCGATTTACTTCAGAGTCAACTATATGAAATTAATATTGAAAAAAATTAAAGGTAGCCATCAGATTTGCCAACCTCTCCTTTAAAGTACGAGTAAACGTCAACATTCAACCATTTCCCACTAGTCTCGACGAGTTCAACGGCTTTTTTATCGTCAGATCCTATTAACGAAGTTCTCTTCACGGCACAATCCTCATAGTAAAGACCCGTCTCCTTGCCAGCTTTTTCATCAACCGCACAATAAAGAATTGTACGTGCACCTTGCTCCTCTGTAAGCGTCACGTATTTGATCATCCACCTCAGTGCACTAGGCACAAACTTCCATATCCCTGCAGCAAAGACGAATCGAATAGTTCAATAAACACAACACCATTGTTCAAAACCATAGACATTTATCACCGGTTGAAACAGCTCCTGGGTGTAGAGAATACGATGTGATTCTAGTCCCTTTTAGTTGTTGGGCAGTCCATCTCGAGTAGTATATGTTGGCGAGTTTTGAGACACCATAACTTAACACAACTTCCTTTGTGCTCTGTTTTGTAAGGACTTTATCACCATGCACCTTCTCATAGTCGATACCAGCAATGGCAGAGACATGCCCTGCAGACGATAGCGTCACGACTCGAGCATTGGAGGCCTTCTTTAGAGCCGGAAGTAGCAACAATGTCAAGAGGAAGTGTCCTTGAGCCAGAGCAAAGTGTAATTCGAAGCCTTCCGATGTCTTGGTATCATCCTTTGCGATAAGACCAGCATTACAAACAAGAATGTCTAGTTGTTCGTCTCGAGCTAAGAAGGATGCAGCAAAGGCTTTCACCGATTTCTACAAACAGTTTCATTGTCAATGAAAGGAGATTAAAGTCATGTCAACAGTAAATATATCACATACCATGCTGGAGATATCAACAGTCATAACTTCTACCATGCCGTTTGCATTCTTTCGAGAAACAACTGCCATAATTTCATTTCTTGCTGATGTGGCACGTTCCAGTGATCGAGAAGCAATAATGACTTTGGCGCCGGCCAATGCAAAGGATTCTGTCGCAGATCTTCCGAGTCCAAAGTTTCCTCCACTAATAATTGGGTGAATGACAGGGCAAAAAACGTTGTCGATTTGGTTTCCAGCAGCAAAATAAATAGAGACTACTAGCACAGCTGCAGCAGTGTGTCGACTTACGTTACAATGATAGTCTTTCCAATGAGAGAATCGTTGGGAATGCTGTATTCTCGAACCATTGCGACAATGCAACTGCAGTTGCTGCGTTTGGCACAAGCTAGGCCGGATAATCCTTGAGCGGAACTACAGGCTTAGTGAAGGTCAGCCTCGATACTTCCTCTTCTTGCGCTCCTGTACAAAGAAGGAGTACAATTGGACGCGGAGTTGCAATGTTGCGAAAATAATCTAACAGATCTATCCAGCTTTCTACGCGATGCTTCAGGTTGTAAAATGTGTCTTTAACATCCTTTCATTCGTGTCAGCGTTTCGATTCTTCGGCGAATGGTCCTAATGCAATGGCGACGCAAACACTGAACATCGAAAAGCACGACAATCTCCGATTCGTAAACAAGCCGTATTCTCTTTCAAGTACAGTGCTGATGTCATTGTACGCACGGCATCTCTCGAACACTACAGCACTAGATGACCAACTGAGAGCAAAGAAAACTCTTATTGAAAAATGCAGCAGAAGACAGCACATAGAAGTGAAACACAAAGACGGAGTCCAGATTTCATCACAAAAGGTCTACTAAACAATCACGATGCGATGTTCCACAAAGACTATCTCGAAAAACTTGTGCCAATTACATTCATAGGATCAAGCAATCAAAACTTAAACTTACAGAGGTGTGGCATTTCCAACTAACATAACAAACTCGTCATCAAGCCACTGACCAGCTTCAAGAGCGTTTGGCAACGCGTCAACATCGCTAGCTCCCAAGGATAATACGGTGTTGGTGGGATTACAATGCGCATCGAGACGTCCAGCTCCAGGTTTAGAAGTACCGTCTGAATCACCAGGCTGAAGGAACAGGGGGGGGGGGGGGGAACATACTGAATACAAAACATATTTTGATCACGCAGTGAGCTTAAGGAACTTCAATTTTACAGGTTTGACATATACCAACGCATCGACCTGAGCTGCGGGATCCGATACCGGCACTTTTCACATTGCACCAGGATCCTATCAAAATGCAGAATCCTTGGTTTAGGAACGAGGCTCTATCAACCAAACTAACTCGCTCCATCGAGCTCATCGACTCACGCACCTTTTGATTTCGCAACAATGAGCAAACCAGACCGACCACTGTACGAACTTGCCTCTTTATCCAATCTGGAGCTGTAACACCCACAGAATCCATCATCGCACATCTAGCACGCATCAAGGAAATCAACCCGGTAATCAATGCATTCGTGTATATATCCGAGCAGGCAGCACTGTAAGAAAGTGCTGTATGTATTGACAGGCAGCGATGTGGTGAATTACTTCCACCATTGTGCGGAGTCCCGTTTGGTGTCAAAGATCTAGAGGATGTTAAACGAATGCCAACTACTTGTGGATCCAATGTTTTCAAGACTAATATTGCTAAAATGGATGCTGTTGAAGTTGCTAGATTACGGAGGGCTGGTACTATTTGTTTTGGCAAGAAACACGGTGTGTAGTGGATTCTTTGTGACTGGAGACCCATCACTCTTCTCATACCCTTGACTGCAGAAATGTGTAGACTGTGTCCATTTCGGTCTCCTGATTCGATCGGTATTGGATGCTGTTTTCTATCTGGATATCGTTAGTGGTGAGTATTGCTTCGGGGGCTTTTGCAACAAAAAAAAACATGACAAAACATTATCATATGCCACCATCCCATCGACCCAAAATCCCGCCCAAACCTCCTACTAAAATTCTTTCTCCTAATGAAATCCTTCCTGGCGCACCCCAAACCACTTAAAATCTCATATACAGATTAATTGTGGAATATGTTACGGAGACATTGGTCTTAGTATGTTACCTCATCACTTTTGAGCACACCCACAAGTATCCAACAATGAACGGCATCAAGCTACTGTAGCTCCAAACGTATTGGTTGCACCTGTTTAAGCGGATTTTCAGGTTTCATCAGCTGTTTCTGCAGGACGAAACACGTACAGAGGCTTTCCGATGGACCATTCGGACTACAGTTGGGGAAGTGGAGTGGTGTGAATAAGAATTGTTGTGGATGATTTGTGGATTACTACTTGAATTAGTACAAATGAATGTGAAGACCATGGCTGCATCTTAAAGTATATATCTAAGCTCAAAATCACAACTTGGCGCTTGCCCTTTTGATATACGCGACCCCGCCTCCTATAGCCTGTATATTTCGTTCTACGACTGTAACCTGTTGTGTTTGTAAAGGATCAGGTCTTCATATACAATAAGTATACAGCAAGGCGTATGCGCTTACTGTGAAGGAAATGGTCTGGCATCCAAACTCGTCACGAACTAACCACGAATCGACTCTTAGAGTCTCTCCTGGCAGAACGGGGGAGATGAAACGAGCTCGAAAGCTCTTAAATCGTGATGGGTCATTCTCTCCCCATAATTTTAAAATAGCTCTAGCTGCGATTCCATAAGAAGCAGGACCATGTAGAATTGGCGTTGGGAAGCCCACCTGGTTGGCAAAGGTAGGATCTAATGTTTCATTGACAAGAGATCAGGAACCAAGACAATAAATGTATGGTTCTCAATGATATCTACCAATGTGTAGTGGATTGTAGTCGCCAGACAAGCGGTAGATGACAGCCTGTTGTTTCAAAGTTGGCAGAGAGAGGCTATTATCCGCAGGTCTGGGTGGTGGAATAGAGTCCAAAGATGGTTTTGGTGGCTTTTCACCTAAATGATTTCATGTTGTTTAACTCGGTGACACCCCTCGACACAACGATCAACCGCAAAAGCAAGTCTATTAAAGTAAATAGGTCTGAATACCTCCGAAGCCTCCAGCGTCTCTATAAAAAGTAGACGACAGTACCTTGGCGTACTCTTTGCTATTGGCGTCAATCATGGTTGCTTCACTACATATATAGATTTAGCATGATTCAACAGTGGTTGCGAGATCACCAAGCATTCATACACTCACGACTGAACGACGGTAGCTTTTCCAGTGTCGAAAACACCTAGAGTCAAAAAGAATCGTCAAGACAATAGAAATAGGGTTTGTAAATAACCCATTTTGTTGGTTTCTACCAGTGATTTTGGTACGGAATCTGAATTTGCCTTCCAAGGGAAGGGGGTTAAGGATTTCGATATATCTCTCGCCGTCAACTACTTTCGATAAATCCAGTTTGATGCCTGGAATTGCATGTCCACCCCTTTCTAAGAAATTGGTCACATTGCTCGAAGTTCCTAAAATTGTAAAGTAGTTTGTGAAATTATCGCCGTTGACACTGGTCTGTAGTGCAGATGGAGCATATCTCCATACGAGGTCTTCCCATCACTCACGAAAGGGAAGGTGAATTGGGAATGTAGGGAAGGCGGCGAAATCCTTGTTCAATTCATAGGTAAATTTCAAGTCATTTTCGCCAATGCCTCTTTGAAAGGTAAATAAAAAGTTAGGTGTGATGTTGTCTGTGACGACAGAAGAACTGAGAACGTTGAATCGGTACATTGCATAAAGAATCAAGTCCCTCTTGTTGTAGGCAACGTCAGAGTAGGTGACGGGTAGCTTAGAGATGTCTGGAGTTGGCATGTTTGTGTGGCTTCCTTGAACAATAATGATGGTGATTGTTGTTGAAGCGGAATGATTAGTAATAATTACCTACAGAGGTTGGGTAGGTCGACTTCGCAATTTCTATACAAACATTTACACATAAAATTGCGTCTGCGCAACCTCTCTAATTGCCATGATGCACGATACCTGTTGACCACACTATTATAAGAACAATTAACAATTTATGTGGGGATTAACAGGTAAGCGATTGCAACGTGTATAACAACGATTTACGTATTAATAGAGACACTAAAAACAACAATTCATGTGTGGATTAACAGAATAGGTGACGGGTAGCTTAGAGATGTCTGTGTTTGTGTGGCTTCCTAATATGGTCGAATTTTGAATACAGTAAGACTATGAATCTATGCGCGTCTATTCTAATTTAGGAGATACTACATACCTTCGGCTCTAGTTGACCCCCTCATTTCAGCAGATGCAGCAGCTCACTATACCCCTCCTTCACAGCAATCTGTAAAGGCGTCATGCCTTCCTTATTCTCTATATTTCTATCAGCTCTATTATCAGTCAAGACTTTGACCATCCCAGCTGCTCTTTGTCTAACTGCTTCGTGCAGACACGTGTTTCCTAAGTCATTTACAATATCGGTCCTCCCTCCAAGCTCCAATAACGTATCCACCACCTGTGTAGCTTTCACAGTGATTGCCAAATGTAGGGGACTGTTTCCATCCTGATCAACATCATCGAGATTAGCTTTATAAAACCGTAAGAGACGGACCATATCTGACTTTCCACGGTCTCCAATCACCGGACCATAGGCTGCAATATGCATGCACGTCTTTCCATTAGCCACCCGTACATTGTTATTAGCACCTGCTGCTAGTACTGTTCTCGCAACATCAAGTCTACCATAAAATACAGCATTGACTAAAACAGTACCTCCAATTAGATCTGGAATTAGCTGTCGATCACTGGTGCCTTCAATATCGGCGCCCTTGTCTAGCAAGGTGCGCGTCCATTCAGGCTGATTCCAAATAGCGGAATAGATGAGTGGTGTCGATGTGCACAGGTGCCAGGCTCCACCTACTTTCATGTAAATGTAGAATCCGTTTCCGTTGATCTGACGTTTATCAAGCAGAAGAGCAGCCGTGTCTGGTGGATACGCGTACCAGCAGGCACCTAGAAATGGTGTGAGGTTTGGTGCTCGAAAGACTTCCAATTCTAAATCTGGAGCATTCCATCCAAGTTGAGTATCTGCTCCGACATGTATCAAATAGCTGACCATGTTCGGGACTGCGTACCATGCAGCAGCAAATATTGCGGTGCCAAAGTATTTGCTCTGATAGTTTACGTTGGCTCCTCTAGCTATTAGTAATTGAGCAACCTCTACGGAGCCTCCCATAGCTGCATACAGAAGCGGATGAATCTTCTCATGCTCCACTGCAGAAGGACTGACTCCTGTATCCAGCAACCACCTAACTATTTCTATGTGCCCCTTCTCACAAGCCAAATCAATGGGCCTTACAAAGGGATTTTGAAAATAAGCGCCTTTACTATCTTGACCTTCTGCATCTGCTTTTGCCCCGGCTTTGATCAATGCTCTTACAACAGCTAGCGAGCCATACGCACAAGCATGGTGGAGTGGACTTCGACTTTGGTCGTCTGTTATATTTGGATCTGCTCCAATGCTCAGTAAATATATGGCGACATCAGCAGACCCATACTGGCAAGCGACAAGCAGTAGAGTCTTGTTGCTGCAGTCAGGATACTGTCGATTTATGTCGATCGCGGGATTGGTATTGACCAGCTGTTTCAAGCGATTGACATCTGCCAGCCTTGCAGAGTTCATAATGTCGTTCTAAATACAGAAATGTTAAAATCTTATGGTTTGAGACGGTTGCAAATCCTAGTCCTTACCATATGCGATTCGTCTAGTTTCACCTTTCGACGAATGCGTTCCTGAAGAATTAGAAATAATGGTGGACCTGCAGCACTTGCATCAGCCGTAAGACCAAGGCCAACCACCACGTCGATATCGGCGTTATGACGAAGCAACACCTTAACCATGTCAACTGTCTTGTTTGTGAAGGACGCCACAAACAACGGAGTCTGCCAAAAGAAATCATTGCTGCGACAATCTACATCAGCCCCTCCATATTCCAACAATGCGTCACCGACTTCAGCGTTTCCAGATATTGCTGCCTCCAACAGAATTGGAGATTTGAAAAAGTTGAGTTCTTCGGTAGCCTTCAATAAACTTGGACCTCCGCCGACTCTCAGTATATGCTTGAGAGCAACTGGCAAGTTCTTTAGCACCGCTACTATAAGCATGGCTCGACCATACAGTTGAAGAGTTTGCGTAAGGATCTCCGTCAACTCGCTATCCATCTGCTCCACGCAGTTTAAATGATCACCCCAGTGGTTTAGGGAGTATCTTATATACGTAGGGGTGTCAGAGGGCGCAATACCTCTGAGACGTTCGATCTGCACCTGAATGATTTTCAGATCCAAATTGGCTGGTAGGCTTATAAGACACATTCTAGCCAAGTGCGACTCCGCTAGCTGCCGGTTGATATAGAATGGCAATGCGTCGCCTATACAGCGGGCTGAGGAGGTGATAAAGTCGGCCACGGATTTATGCATGAGCTGCACTGATGATTTTGATATGACGAGTACCGACTCAACACGAGTCAGGTTGAGCTTGATCAGTGTTGAAGGCATACCTACTAGAGATGATATATCTTCTACGGACATTGGTGTCCGGAGAACTACAAGCACTCCTAGTAACTTATTACATAATTGTGTTGCTGAGTCGGGAGCTCCTTTGAAACTGGCCACCAGAGCTCTAGTATATAGCGTGTCCATACGATGTTCATCATTGCCGAGAGATCGTTGTTCTAGTTCGACGATAGTTTGGGTCGGATCGTCAGAGGTATCCATTGCATCGCAAGCCAGGTAAAGCCATACGAAAAGTCCATGCGCCATTACGGATAGTTTATCGGCTAGTGCATCTACTAGTTCGTTCGAGTCCAAGATAGGCCGCAGGTGTTTCAGTCGATAAAATGCGTACAGTCTTATATCGTTCAAATTATCGGGTGCTTCCAGTATCATCATTCGTGGTTTATAGTTCGATAATTGCTTTCGCAGATCTTGCAGCGGGCGACTGGTAATGAAAAGTTGAATGTTCTTGGGAAGACGGATGAGGTATCTACCAAGAGCCTCAAGAAACTCTCGTCGTAAAGCACTACCCTCCGCAGCACATTCATCCAGAGCATCTAGCAGCATAACGGCTTTACCTCCACGATAGCTGGATAATGGTCTCACAATCAGCTGTTCAAATTGAAGACCGATGGATGGCGTGTTTATTAAAAAGTTGGGTTCGGATTCACGTAAATCCCTTAAAGTCCTCCTAATATCAGGATCGAAGGCAGCCAACTGGAATGCCCATGTCGATATCACACGGAATGGATCATTACGGGCAAGCTCGTCATGCTTGCAAAAGAAGTGTGCGGCCAACTGATTACGGTTCTGTAGCGCATCTGCAAAACAACCTGTAACGACTGATTTGCCTACACCTGCTACGCCAGATAGCCAGTAGACACCAGATTGATCATTACCTCCAACCCATTCACTCAGTTCATCCAAGAGCCAGCCTCTAGTTGACGATAGTCTCTTTTCCTTCAGCGTAAACTGCGTCAGTCTAAAATCCGGAGGATTCAGCCATGACTTCAAGTCAGACAGGTCGGCATTTCGAATAGTAGTCTCTGTTCGGGCGATGGGAGCATTTGTAGGTATAGAAGCAAGGTCCTTGAACAGAGGATCAGTGAGATGTTGTCCTCGTATTTCTTCTAGGGCTGCCATCGGGACCATTCCAGATCGACCACTAGCCTGAGAGTATCCGTAACTCCAGCCTTGATAGAATGTTACTTCAGAGGTTGGATACACATTCTGTGTCTGCTGACACATACATACCATCCACGAAAGACTCTGCAACGATGACCAGATCTCCCAAGCTTAGCGCCAGTTCATCCGGTTCTAGGGGCGTATAAGCGAGGATCACACGGTAATGCGTAAATACTGGTGAAGAAGCAGAATACGATGGCTAGATCAACGGGCCGTTAGTAACTTTTGCATGACAATGTAAGGTAAGCACTTACCGGAGGCACAATGTCGGGTTGAGCCGATTTAAGCGGATCTTGCTCCTGCAACGTAGACAGAGCAGATAGTGCCGGGCTGACTGTCGTTTGGCTACTATTAGTGCTTCCATTGTTTCCGTCATTGGCAGCACTATAAGGACGGTCAATGTGTGGATCTTCCAGGCCAACAGGGACGTTTGTGACGAACTAGGTAGATTTGAGTTAGAACTTACGTACATTGATCAGTGTATGTTCATCACTCACTGGGGGTTCTCGTTGTTGATTGTTTCGTCGCTGTAGGCGAAAGATGGAGCTAAACTTGCTCTTCAAGTCCATATTAATGACTTCTGGAGCCACTGAAGCTTTTCAATGTGCAATCAAGTGCTTCCTGAGCTGAATGTTCCGACACGTTTTCTAATCGTGGCTAATTTTCTAAGATTTGATCAGGGCTTTGAAGTAGGATTGCAAAACCTAACTCTCAACAACCACTATTGAATTTCGCTGTTTTTCAAAATGGACCCTTAATAGAGGCCAGTATCTGTAGGCGTCGCTAACGTGTAAAGGAAGCCAATCAGCTTGGGTTCAGTAGCGTGTCGTCCCAGGAATGCCAAATATGTAGTACAAAGCAACCATATACACCAAAAAGCAGCACCTCCCCCATCTACAAGCTACAACTTCACCTTTGCAACGCCGACCAGTGTTGGCGGGCAATAACTCTCATAACAAAAGCCAATCCTACGAATACAAATAAAATGCAACTATGCCACGAGCAACCTGTGCGTCGGGCCATGCAGCCTTAATACGAATCAAAATTTCTACAGCATCTAGGAAGGTATCCAATACCAACAGAGATATTTGCTTTCGTTGAATAGAGTCAATAGC